CACTTCGATAACCAGTGAAAACTTGAATGCACTGGATAACAGTTTCGTTTTAGTATGGGACTCCTTTGCACTGTGTATCGATGATCCAGCAACTGGGGATCAGACCCAGGATCTACGGTCTCACGCTTCTAAACCACTGAAACGAAAACAAATGGTGTGACTTACACCAACCCCGGGGCATTACGTAACCATTATTCATTGTCTTCGGTGAGTAATTTCTTCATACCTGACAGGGTTGAACTTCACTGTTCATGCTTCCAAGTTTTCAGTGGTTGTCTAACTTAGATCCGTTTGTTGTTTCAATAAAGTTCAGCAGACTCCGTAATCCAACGCTAATAATTATAACTTTGTATTATTAACCTTCTTGTTAAAGTGTAGTCTAACTTCTTCAAGACCGATCAAACAATACTAATTGTAATTAATATATAACAGTACTTTCAAAATTTCTAAAATTTTCCTACCTACTACTCTGTATAATGTCAACTTTAAAACTTGTGAATAACTCACTCTCTATATTGGCCTTAATCTGTATGTTGCAGAAAAGATACACCAACTGCAGCTGATGTTATTAATACATTGAATGCTGACGAACTGTCGAATATATTCAGCATTTATGGTGAAGAACGTTTTTCCAGGCGTATCGCAAACGCTATTGTTGATTATAGAAATGATGCTGGTTCAATTCAAACAACAAAACAGTTAGCTGATTTAGTTCATTCTGTTGTACCAGTGAATAGAGAAGATAGAGGGTAAGTAAAACTACACCAATACAAGTGTTTGGTTTCATGTATATTTCCAAGTTGTCGTTATAAATTGAATAAATAGTACTTTTGTTGTGTTTTCAATTATTCAGCTATGTATACCTATGATATACTCATCATAAGATTTGAAAATTCTGGGTTCTATACTTGTTGAAGAGTATTTCCAATTTAAGATGAAACTCTGGAAGAAATCCATTTTATTGTTGGATAAACATAGGTCAATGAGGAGAATTTCTTTCTCGACTGTCATTTACTAAACTTTCTAAATCGTATTTATGGTTATATGGAAGCGGTATGTTCAATCTCTTTTTTAAGATTGGTCTTGGGCCAATTGGACAACATTGATTTATCGGCCAGACCAATGACATAGAAATCAGCACAAACAGTCCAGAGTCTTTATCGGTTCTTCTTCTTACCTAGCCCTGCCTGTTAAGTCCAGAAAGCAAATCTCATCCTCTGCGTTATGTATTTCGAACATGCTGGGTTTATATACCAACCAAACAGACCACATTGTACCATAAAATGGAAAATAACATTTGTACAAGATCTAACTAAAAGTGGCTGTGAATGTGGGAGACTGTAATTAATGGACCGAGTATAACTCAAGAACGGTGAATCGTATAATGATAGTGATAGAGAAGATTTGTAGCTCGGGTGGATGATTTTGATGAAGTTTTGTTCTCTGAGCTGGATGGTTTGGTCGTGGAGCTTTCATCGTTCTTCTGAACGACATCATCAGCACAAACTTCAGATAGAAGTGAAGTGTTCGAATAGTCTGTGGGTCAAAATAAAGTTTATAATAAGAGGAACGTGAATATGAATAGTTTGGTTACTTAACAACTATATAGTAAAATATTTATGTATCGTATTGATCCATAAATAGTTCTCAAAAGTTACCATTCATAATTCTCATCGGGATATAACAGTACCTACACGTTATACGAACGTTACACAACAGTAAGACAATACGACATCTTATCACTCATAATAATGTACACAGACAACTACAGACACTTATATAATTAAGAAATCGAGGAAATCCGAAAAATGACAGGAAATTTCTAGAAACATGAAATTAAAGTCAATCTGCAATCAATAGGCGACATGTCGACATAAACCTTATTAGCCATTCTATGCGGAAAATGTCAACTAATTTCTTGAACAGAAGTTAGTCGAACAAGATAGTCAACAGGAATATCAAGACAACTTAAGCTGATGCAACCGCCGAAGGCAACCATTCGGAGGTAATGTCATCAAAACTGGAGTATTTAGCACTTGTAAAGTAATTAAATAGCTCACACCCTAACCCTGAAGTTTGTAGGTATGCCTTGCTGTATGAGTCTCAGGTTATACAAAATAAAATTTGTAAAGAGTTTTCTATCGACCACCTTCAACCCCCTAACTTCCTAACATTGTACTTAAGGTATCGATTCACTTAGACCAGTGATAATACTGTAACTCGGTTGATAGAATTCAATCAACACAGAAGTAGATACATATCATTGTTCACTATCCTATGACCAATCAATATTATATACGATCACATGTTTTCATCTCTCTCTACGTATTTATCATTCTTTTCAGCTCGATTCATCCAGCTACACGTATATTCCAAGCATTACGTATTTTCATTAATGACGAACTAAACGAATTATGCATCGGTCTAGAATTAGCTGAATTTTTATTAAAACCTGGTGGTTATTTAGTTGTTCTATCATTTCATTCATTAGAAGATCGTTTAATCAAATGGGCATTCCATTATGATTGTAAACATCTATCTTTATCAAAATATTTATCACAACGAAGTCTGAATTTTCAATGTATTAATAAAAGAAAAGAATATGAAAATGATGAAATATCAGATGGATCTCTGGGACAGATGAAATCAAAATGGAATTGTGTAAGTTAAATAATCCTGTGATAATCTAGGTTCTTGAATTATATTGTTTTCTACTACTAATAATAATGTTACTACTTCTGATAGTCCGACATTTATCTTAAATATTTTCATCTGATTGTATTGATATATGGTGGAAACTTGAACCGATGAACATATTTTCCAAGTTCAATGTTGTCTATAATTGGCCCCTGAATGGTCTTGTATGACCGAGGGTGAAGAGAGTTCGTTCTCCCTTTCGAAATAATATCATATGGCCACACGTATACAACCACCATCAGGGAAGTGTTGTTTACGAAATTGGGAATACGTAAGGCGAATATTCGGCGTATACACCGGGTTAGTAGATACAAAGGATTTTCCTAGGAGGGGGGTTGAGAACCCTGGGTACAAACCAATAGTGCACATGGGCCACTTCGACTATAGATAGCATACATCATCAGTGTACAACTTACATAATAAATCTAGTTAGTTCCATTTAGTGCACAGTTATTAATGTTTAATTTAGTAAATGAATAATAGTTCAAATAATACATGATGGTAACTAATACTCCTGTGCTTAAAGCGAATTTTAAACCATTTAGAGCTCATTAACTGAATTCCTCCTCACTGCTAATGATTTATCATTGACTACTACAGTCCGCGTTATTTCAAAAATTGTAAACTTTTGACTTATTCTTAAAAACAACCTAAAACTTATCAGATTCGTTTGTCATACAAACCGAAAAAATTGATGATTTTAACAATGCACTGGTTTCATACTTAATACATTTGGTTTTATATCAGTTGTTTTCAACACTGTGATGCTATTTTTTCTCTTAAAGGTTATTGGACCTATAACTCCTTCCGATTCGGAGATAGATTCTAATCCAAGAAGTCGTTCAGCCAAATTACGTATAGCGAAAAGAGCATAATTAAAAAGTGATTAAGGAAGCAATGACAATAAACGATTAGGTTACTGATCAAGATGTATGATGTATAGAGTATTACATGTGTGGATAATACAATTCAGTTGGATTTTGTTAAACAGTCTCAATTCTGAAGCTATATTTTGTACATATTCAGGTTTTTTTTAGAGAAACGTAATTGTACATATTTGTGATTATTGCACCAATTAAATTGATATAATCGATCTTACTTTTCATAAATATTGGTGGAGTGGGGCTTTTTTTTCGTCACTTTGTATTTGTACAATTTCCTGTTATTAATATTCAGCACTACAATTTATATCAGTTTCCGTCCCAATATATATACATCTTGAATTGACTTGCTTAATTAAGCCTGTTACCCCTCGTCGAGGAGCGTAGGCCATTCACCAGCACTCTTCATCCAACTCTGTCATGGACAATCCTTTTTGGTTGCTATTCATCCTTTTGATGTCTGTTTCCAATTACCGACGTAGCATGTTCTTCGGGATTCCAGGTAAACGCTTGCTTCATGATACAGTTTGGTGAGTTCCGTAATGCATGTCCCACCCACCTTCATCATCTTTTCCTAATTTCCTCTTCAGATGGAAGTCGGTTTGTTCTCTCCCACAGCTGTCTGTTGCCGGTGGTATTCGGACATTGTTTGTAACTACTCGTATCTTTTTGATTATGGTTGTGATAGTTATCCCAGTTTCAGCTCCGTACAGTAGAACTGTCTTGACATCCGTATTGCAGATTCCGATTTTGATATTTCTTGACAGTCCTCTCGAAGTGCTCTCACATGACCACACGTATACAGCTACTACCAGGGAAGTCCTACTCACTGCCTTCTCGGGAAGGGGATGCTGTTTACGGAATAGAGAGAACAGAAAACAAATGTTCGGCGCTTAACAGGGTTGGTGGATATGAAGGATCCATCTAGGAGAGCTGGAAAACCCTGATTTCAAACAAATGGTGGATATGGGCTCCAGGATCCTAAGGAGACTAATGGCTTATGAACGTATCGTTGGTCACCAACTACCATAGGACTATATCTCCTAATGCTGCTCCACTGCCCTGTGGATCAGACTTTTAGGTCAAAAGCTCCGGGAGCCCCCTCCCTAAGAAAACCACCTACTTTTGTATGGGCTCTCGGATAGTATCACAGCCCATACACAAATCAAGTGACTTGTGTGGCGCATATATATTTGGTGCCTTCTTGTACTCATGATGTTAATCTTCAACCAAACACTTAATCCAATTTGCAATTTCATTAACTTCAATGTCATTTAGACAATTTGTCTTATAATTCCACTTAACGTACAAACTTATATCAAGTCATTCATTAATATAACTTTATTTGAAGTAGAGAAAAAAAAAAGGTTATTTACAACAATTTCATTTATATACAATGACGAGAGAGAATAAATAAAGAATTCAATAGTCAATAGCGAATGATTTTAAAGTTTTTAAAAGTGTTTTTGGTTGAATAAATTTTTTAAATTCAGTTCTTGGTATCCATGCAAAATTATTAATATTGAAATCATTATTTATAATTAAATCTTCACCATGCCAATGTCTATCAACGTAGACATTGAAAAAGTATACCTATAAAAATAAACAGAAAGAGAATATATGAATATCATTATGATTGGTAATATGTTGTTCTGTCAACAGAAATCTGTACTAGGCTAGGTGTGTTATTTTCTAACATTGACAATCTTTACTCGTTGTTGAGAGGCATCATCATTGCAGATGTCATTTATTATTATTATTTATTTATTTGAATATATGGATATTGGTACAAGGCGGCATCAAATATATATGCGACACACCTCTTCTAATCATCTCACAGGTGGGGACAATCGAATGTAATTTGAACACAAAATTGCAAAAAAAAACCATACAGTAAATACTTCATTCGCAAAATGTCAATCAGTCGTCTCAGATTTGATTATTCCTACGTTTCCACACTAATCATTCTCTGTTCTCGTATTCTTTCCTTCGATCTTCTGCCTTTAGGCATTTCAATTTCGATTGGTGATACATACTACTTATATCTATCGATATCAGTAGCACATACCACAATATATCATAATACATACGACACTGGATCGTTTACACTAGTCTATTTATTTAGACACATAAACATTGGTACAAGGAGGCACCGAATACATATGCGCCACACAAATCTCATTCGATATGTGTGAGGGCTGTGATACTGCCCTGGTGCCCAAACCGAACCAGGTGGTTTTCTTAGGGGGCCACACCCGGAGCCTTTGACCTGAAGTTCTGATCCACAAAGCAGTGGAGCATCGTGAGGAGATGCAGTCCTATGGTAGCCGGTGACCAACGATTAGTTCATACGCCATTTGTTCCTTCAGGATACTGGAGCCCATGTGCACCATTGATTTGGAATCAGGGTTTTCCAACTCCCCTAGGTGGACTCACCGTGTCCACCAACCTGCAGATGTCATATCTCTATACAGTTGGCAGTACAACTTTGCCCTCAGACTTTGAGTTGTCTTCAGCTCTACTGTTGGAACTGGTAGAACTTGAAGAAACCAATATCCTGATTAATATAGTTTGATTTAGCAATTACGGATATGCAAGCCTGATCACTACAAAGCAGAGGGTATGGTAGAGATAATGTCTAGAAAGAATGAAAGCTTCACGAGTTAACCATTTAGTTCAGAATATCCAAAGTTTCAAACCATGACGAAACAACTAGATCTCAATGACCCCCCAAATGTCAGCCTATGATAAAAACAAACTTCCTCTAAAAATCAAACAGATCTCTAAGAACCACCTAACTAGATGATTTCTACTATTTTTGAAAAACAAACAAAAACCTATTAGCACTTAGTAATTATACACTTACCTGTGTACCAGTATCTTCTTTATTTCTATCTCTAGTCAACCAAACAGCAACTGGTGTATTGCCAAATATACACCATTTAGCTCTTGGTGGTAATAAACTTGTTGCTATAGAATCAGCGACCTGGAGAGGGACAAAAGTGAATGAAATTTAAAATAAGAATAGTAGTGATTTCTTTCAGATGATATTGGTAGAAAAAATAATTAAGTTATAAATACTTGAATTGGTACAAATGACCTACGAAATTTACTTTTTCATTATAAACAATATTGTTTTTTGTATAATCTACAATAGTGCATGAATATGATGGTAAATTTTATTTTGTTGATATTGGTATTCAGCACAATTCAAATGGTCATATAGAAAGATTTATTCATCGGAAAGACACTTGGAGTAGGTTTTACTTGAATTTCAATAGTTTTTGTCCAATAAGCTACAAGGTTTTGGTTAAAACACTATATTGAGAACGGAAGACTGAAAAATTAACTATGGTTGAAAAATGTCTGCGAGATAATGATTATCCACAAAAGTTCATCAGTAATTATAGGGAAACAAGAAAAAAAAGAGTGAAATTTGCCACAGTCGAGAAAAAGTCAACCTTCTTACAACTCAGTTTGAAAGGTGATAAAAAAGCGAGCATGATTAATTGTAGACTAAGTGCTCCACTGAAGAGGACATGTCCAGCCGCAAAACTATTTTCTATGTATCAAACAAATAGCACATCGAGGAGGAAAAAAGTGGGCAAATCCCCTCTTCCGGTTACGTCCGATTGCACCTATCAGTTCGCCAGCTCATGCCAGAGCATTCACTTCGAAAGAACAGAAAGAAGAATTCATGATCGAATCTCCGAGTATATTCCACAAAAAATAAAGATCAAAAAGTCAACGTATTTTCAACAATGCCATGGCTTGATATTTTAAAACCTTTCAAACATAATAAATACTTAAACAGATTTAAATTTACGACGTTACCAAAGGGCCATCGCTGTAAAAAAAGCCATACCTATATATTCAAAAGGAAACCGTTGTAAATCTATCACTACTCTGGTAACTTCAAGTTTCTGCTATCCAATTGCGTAATATCTTAGTTCGTATTCGTAATAGCATATTCCTTTCTCAATGTTGGGTTTTTTCAGCTTTACTCATCCAATTATGTTATTCTACCAAAATTTTATATACATGCTCTAGGAACGTACCTCCATGTGTTTAAGAAAGAATTTATTCTGGAATTTTTAGTTGGTAAATATTCATTCACTTCACCCCTATAATCTTTCTCTTTATAACTGTTGTTGGTATTCTCCTATGATCTATTTGATTATATAAAGTATGCACATTGCTATAAACCATAATAATTATTAGGCAAAGATGGATAGTGGTTAGCAGTGGAATCTAGGACGCGCGTCCCGTTCTATTTGGGACTCGTCAGCTGAATGTACCTGTATCCAAGAGTTGACGCTCACTCCGGGACTCGAACCCAGTACCGTTCGCTTTAAACGCCATCGCATTATCCATTTACCTACTGACTTCTGATAGCCACTTGTTTTTGCAATGGTGTGAAGTTTAAATTCACTTATTTTTGTTTGCTTGTATCTTCGCATTGTTGTTTGGGACTGCAATTGATCAGTCTCTTATTAGCATATGTACATCCAATGAGGATTGACTCGAGTGAGCATCAACTCTGGGATTCAGGTACATTTAGCTGATAAGTCCTAAATAGGACGATACGCGCGTTGTGGATTTCACTGCTAGCCACCATCAATTCTGTACACCATGCTTGTGACTTGAGGCAATATCGAGGCAATCCGCACAGAATGCACATATGCCAATAAGAGACTGATCAATTGCAGTCCTAAACAACAATGGGAAAATACAAGCAAAAAACACCAAGTGAATTTATAATAATTACTGTTTCTAAGTTGTAAGCAGCTGACAAAATAACTGATTTCACTTTATTCTGCTACACTTGTTCTTGCCTTAATCTAATTAATTTTTGTGTTAAATATTTTGCAGATAGTTGTGTTATTAAAGTAAGTATTATCTAATACTGTTAACTTCTGAACCATAATTGAGCCTCACGATATTACACACTACACTGTTGATTGCGCAAGCCTAATATCTCTTATTGCTATACAATAACAGTTAAACCGTATTCACACCACCATATACAACAAGAAGGAAAGGAATATCATCCTGTATAGGAAAGCATTTGTTGTTTCCAGAAAAACAAAAACAAATGGTGCAAATATTCTGTATACATAGCTTATACATAACTCTATAAAAACATGATTCTGCGTATTAAAAGTTTGAAGAACCAATTAACATGTATTTTCAAGTCACCATATACTTTTGATATGGAAACATAAAAATTGATATTTTATGGCAATCTTAGAAGATTGTACAGTGGTGTTACCGGTACTAGGAAAAATGCTATGCATTTTGACGATACACTGGCTATATTATGAAGTATTAGAATATTATATATAAACGTTTTCATAACCAGATACATCAATATAGTTACCTGTCTTAAATTTTTTCCATCGGATACTGGTGCAGTTGGAAGATTCCATCCACTAGATACATTTTTCGGGGATTGAACTAACAAGTACAAAGGTTTATCTAACGCACGCCAGGCGGACTTTAAATTTTGAGATTTATCATTTTCTAAAAGAGATCAAGTGAAAAAAATTATTTGATAGAAATTACTAAAACGAAGCGTGAAATCATTCTTATTGAACGTCAGTGAGAATAGTTGTAACTCTTACAACTACATTGGGCTACAGATACTCGTTCATAAGATGGAACCATCTAAAATCACTTCCACGTATTAATATTAGATTCAGGAATAGTTAAAAACGATTATTTGGAATTTTAACGCTGTTTAACTCCAAAGGAACAACTTAGTTATTTTTAGCATCATTAAATTTGGCTACTATTAAACCGTTTAGATGGAAAATGAAATAAAACTACAGTACTACCGTTACTAATCTCTGTTTTGAGACATGTGATAAGGTTCCAAGCCATTCGATTGCATAACATTTAAGACCCTATTGAAGAAGTTGTAATGCACTGGCAAACATGGCCTCAATATAACTACTCTTCCTTTTGAACGGAGAAGAGGCGCTGCCTGTTTTTCATCCTTTAATAACTGAGCCGCTTCCAACAGTTTTAAGAACCAATTTGCACCCATCAAGGATAAGATTTGTACAACTGGTTCTTCAAGTGTATTTTTATTGGAATCAATTTTAGTTTACCTTCATAAAAGTTAAAAGTCGTCACATACTCTACGAATACTTAGCTGAAGCTGATCAGTTTGATGATTTATTTAAACATGATAGTCTAAACGGTGATAATTGTATATACATCAATTGTAGATGAGGTGTAAGTTATAGTATTTTACATAAACTGTTGCTTTCATTTAACTGCAAGTCAAAAATATTTTTCTTAACATAGAAGTCTATAATCTGAAATCTGCTCAAAAACAGTTAAAACGGGTTATTTAAAACCTTTCGAGCCATGTCGGTAGATGCAGACTACTTGGTTGGGGTCCCGGTGACTATCGTAACCAATGGTTGGAGACTCTTGATGACATGGCTCAGAATCGATCACAGTGGCATAGATGTATACACTATCTGTCTTTCCTTAAACTATGAGATTAAAGTCACTTCATATCTTTCTACTAACTAATTCTTTCTTCCTGTACTATATCCTTATATGCAATCCTTCTTTTATATATTACCATCATTGAATTAACTACTATGAATCCGGTTTTTATCTTGCTGAGTTAATGCAACTTGGACAACGTGGACCGATGCATATATGTGCCTGGTCCTACGTTGTAGCTGACTGACTTCCGAACCCGAGCCCCAAATTCTCCCTACACCTCTCGTTTTTTTCTGTAAATGATTTTTTACTAGTAAGGATGTCGTTACTAATCCTCTTATTCTGGGGTTTGGATCGACAACCTTAGTTTAGTGTGTTCTTGTACTCCAACTTAACCTAATTAGAAGAATTATTCTTTTGACTTGTTCATAATTATTAGTGAATACTATTAACAACATTTTCAGAGGAACAAATGTACCTTCAACACGAGCTAACATCCTTTTTGGATGTTAATTGAGTTCATATACGTCGGAATGCCTCTAAATGTTAAAAGAAAATTCAGTTCTACGAATACAAGTCGTTTAAGAAATGTTCACTATGAGTAAGCTTGCTCTAAGTGATTTATGATTCGCTATAAAAACAGAAATATTCTGGTCCAAAATTGAAATTTAGATAAGATCTTTTTTATCGACAAACCTTAAAAACAAGGGATCTTTTTCAGTAAAAACGATTGAGTCAGAAATAAAATATTCTGACAAAAAACATACCTGTCAATCGTTCTGCTGGCTTATACTGCTCAGCCTCCAACTCCCACATTATTTCCGCTTCACGAGCAGTTATAAGTGATTCTTGTGCAATATTACTTATTCCTTTTGAAAGGGCATTAGCAATTCTTTTGGTTTCAATTTCATGTCTTAATTCATGTGCCGACAAGTGGCTTCTTTCAAAGTCGACCTTTTCAATTAAGTCGGCTACTTGTTTTTCAAGTGGTTTTAATTCTGGTGCAATAACTGCGGGCCGACGTATACACAACCCACTGAAGATATTCCAATTTTTGATATCTTTCAATATAACCAGAGAACGAGACATTACCAACTTACTGTGAGAATAGCAAAAGAAACATTATTTACTGAATGGTGATAAAAACTGAGTTGATACGTATGCTTCCAATGAAGTCCTTAGTTTGCGATGATATATAAAATTATCCCATACATACACAGGACGAACAATACATGGAAGTTATATTACCAAGTTCCTGAAATCAACATTATATGTGTATGCTTGTAAAGATAGTGGTATTACATCATATGAGTCACTACTGCACGTTGCCATCACATGGTTAGGGTCAGGTCTGTTACAACCGGAGACTGAAAAACTGACAAAATCTTGTAACACCCTTAAGTGTTTTATTGGTTTACACTTGTAATATACAAGCCCTTATAATGAGGTTGAAAAAATAACACGACTTGACCCATATGTAGTGTATTTCGGTCAATATATAACAATTAAATTCATTGCGTTCATAGAAATGCAGTTATAAAAAAGAAATTCAGGTAGGTGCATTTGTGATAAAAAACCAAATAACTAAATGGACATGGCCATCACAACAAAGAGCCACAAAAGACGATACCAAAAAGCTGGAACCCCGATATATAAATAATTCGTACTAGGTGAAAGTATTCTAATGTTTACAAGCTTGTTAACTTCTTTATATGGACTCAGAGTTAGTGGCTGGGTAGGCAATAAAAATTCATGAACCTCAAGAGCACCTATGGTATTCCCATTTTTATATTTTAACGCTTTATCTAAAAATAATACCTTTTCTTGGCCAGAGAAGCAAGTAATTAGCTATATGACCTCGAGTGTCAAAAACACACAGTGACCTACAGACACACTTTCGCGCTTTCAATATACAATAGCATCTGGAACTCCAATGTCTTCAATATCTTTCTCATGAGCTCGTATAAACAGATTGGTTTCTTTGAGGTGGTTTCTCGTTGTTTCAATACGGCCTTAGGTAATTGGTAAAATCAGTGAGTGGTAGTTCATCCGTTCGAATGCACTAATACTAGTCAGTTTGGTAATTACTTGTGGATTTGTATATCGTAGTTGAGTGAGTGCGTTTGTCTCAGGTTAGCAGAGCCTTCGGATACCAGCAGTTATCACATTGCCAGATAGCAGGTTGGCTGACTGCAATGTGAAAGTAATAAAGTGATAATTAAGGTGAAAGTGAAGGCGATTTTTTCAAGAACGATAAGTTAATCTATTGGTAATGTGTAAGAACACAGAATTGAAAAAACAAGAAGAGAAACGAAGATGATAATAGGAGACATGGGAATCAATTTTTGAGTTTTGGTAGTGATAACCGTGATAATGTATGAGACATGCATCAGACACAAGGGTTCAATAGGCATATAGTGATCCATAGGTGAATACTTGTTTGTGGGTTTTTCATCTCTATCCCGTCTCATGGCGCTAACCACATATACAGTCGGTTCTGAACTTCCACTAATTGTGACTAGTCGCTTATGGAACTACCTTGTGTGGGTGTATTGGTTGTTGAGTTTTTGGGGTGGGGTGTTGAAATCCGAAAGTAATGATGGATCAAATCCCAGCCATTTTATTTCATCTTATTGGGCGTTAGAAACTTTGGGGGGCCGATATACTTCTCTGATCTACCACTTTATTCCATAAACATTTAAACAACACCATCATGTGTTTGCCGGCTTGGTTAATTTGGTAGTATGGTGCTGTGGCTTTGAAGTGATTGTTAATCTACATTGCCACTTGACCTCATTTTTGTGTACTTTTGTCTATCTGAAAAGTGCTATGACTTGCAAGTTCGTTTTTCATCCATGATGTCAAGGGATAGCAATGTTTCAAATAGGGCCATGATCTTCAGAACTTTTGGAAACTAAACGTCTCCGATTTCTTCCATTTTTCTCCTAATTCCCATTACATTGTTATAGAGGCACTTGACCGTTTGTATAATCAACTGGTACCTCTCTACAGCAGCACTTGTCTTATGGTTTTTTGGCAGGTTGTTGATTAAGAGGAGTTATCAAATTCTGTGAGAACCGGCTGTAGTAGGTATTTTGCCTGTATGGCGTATCGTACTAGCGGCACAGTGGTTTCTGTGTTATGTACCGTGGGTTGCTGATCAAGATCAATCAACACAAAGGGGTTTTCTTTGATGTTACCTTACTGGCCTAATTCGGAGTTCACAACATCTGGTGTGACTGGAGAGGCCGATCTAGAGGCTATACAAAGCCTAAAGCGCCTTGGTTAAATCCTCTCGGTTTCTGAAGTTTACAACCATCAGATGCAGGAACTTAATAGTCGTGAGGTCTAACAGACGACATAATCTGGACGCACTAATCATCATAGTGGTGTAAAGGTCTACGACACATGATGGCCGACGTCACTGTTACATATCGTTCTCGTGAGCTTCATTTCGACTATCACCTACTGACTGAACCAGTCTGTAAACCACCATGCTGGTTGGTTCTTTAGTGTTAGATGATCATCGAGCTTCATCTGTTATTTCGTATGGCTTTTGTTCAACCAAGATTCGAGAGAACCGGTTAACTGATGGTTCTTAATGTGCCAGAAAAATCTCTTTTTTTAGCCTGTGTTTATCCTAAAGTTACCTCCAATAAGGGGTTTGCCTTTTGATTCGTTAGGACCCCAATACAGTCTACATAGGTTGACTGAAGTTATATGCTCCCTCAGCATTCTACAGTCCTTGTACCACTGTTCTTTATTAAAGAATTCCATATTTCATAATCAGCCACCACTCAGCAATCGGACGTTAAATAAGATAAATGAGGTTCGTCTAACGTCTTTATCTCGCATTTCCACCGTTTTGAAAGCTATTCTTTTTCCGATTCCCCACCTAACTCTCACACTGCTACGGGCTGTTGGCAGATACTGTGTGATTAGCAAGATTTGATAATTCCATTGGTGTATGGGCTCGGGGCGTGGCTCCCTTGGTCGTTTTTTTGCTTGAGTCTGTGTTTGACGTCTTGAATATACTGATGGGAATTTATACGGTCGTTTCCAATTGGATCTTATGCTTCCCTTTAACTAGTTCCGTTTCCTACACTGTAGTAAAAAAAACCAGAGTCACGGACAGCAATGACTCCACATAAACCTGTAGTTCCGTTAAAGTACTTCAGTATCACAACAACAGTGAACCCAACCACTGTGGAAACGCTGAGCCCCTGGTTTCAACGAGAGGCAAGCATGCGATACAGTTATCATTTTCGTGTTGTTTCTATCCAGTAGTCAAGAAGTACGCGAAACAGAAGTTTCAAAGGCGAATAACAGCACAAATAAGCGGATATATGCTGAAGCGTTGCGTTTGGCAGTCTTAGTAAGCAACCTCACGTGGGTTTGTCAACTTACCTACAAGCCTTATGTCCGGAAGTAAGTAGATATGTGTATGTTGCAGTTGAAACGACCAGTAAGAGAGCAGTTGATCGAGATAACCAGACCTACTGCACAGTAATCTAACCCTGATACGATTACTGTTGTCGGATTTGTTATTGTGATTGTCTACTAGCAAAGCGAAGACGCAGTTCGCGTCCTTAAAAGTGTTGAAATATTCCATTATGGCAATGGAAAAGTGGACATCCCGTGTTATTAGCGAGAGCTCAACGAGGTTATGTCAGATTGAAAAGTACTCTTGTTGAACTGTAGATAATAGACAGCCTGTCCGTTAATTTGCTTGTTTCCAGATATAACCGCTTTGGTGAGAAATCTCAAATGTAGGATAATAACGAAATCTACGAATACTGAAACAATTTAAATCAGTTAGTCCCTTTTATATACAGTTTGTACACGACTGATCCTGACGGAATATGGCTTGTTGGTCTAGAAGTTAGGTGGCAACAGAATATTCCATTATGTTCAATAGAATACTTTTGAAAGCTTTTCGTGGTACCAATAATAGCATGATGCATCTGCAGTAGTTATAATTACTGGGGTCTACTTTCTTTCGTATATTGGCAGGGTTACTAGAAGATATAAGAAACAGGAGAAGAAATGACATAAACTCACATCACCACCTGATGGATGCAAATATGAAATTAAAGATAAGAAGCATTGAACAACTGGAAAATAGCCGGAAAAAGATCAACACAGCATTTCTTCCATATACTCGCAAACGAAATAAGTTCGACATAACTAAGAACAACACGATCAAAGTCCAGGTGAATATAGTAAATGAAGAAGAAACAACGAAGAAAGACCAGCATGAGCGCATATTCATTAATCAAAAACAAGTGAAGAGAGATTGAAACAACATAAGCAAAAAAAGACAAGCAGGCAAAATAACGAAAACAAAATACAAAAAGTAAGTGTTAATAACGTATACGTCGAAAAATAGATACGGCACACATTGCTCAGGCATCACAAACGACAACAGTCCGCACCAACTTGTCACACTGCTTTCACATGGACACTGTGTTCGTTGTTCACTTCAGATTTGTCTCGATCCACACTGACAATCAGACTGATGTGTGCATATCGACCTCTAGGATGTGTGCAGCATCGTCGCACACGTGCATTGCTGCTCATCAGTCTCTATCGAATCCGTCTCTACGACATATATTTCACAAGGTTCCATCACACCAACAGTGTTTGTATTTGTACTGGTATTGTTGTTGCATTGGCTGTCTTCACGAGGAGTGTCAATGAATGTGAGAACAGTGTCAGTATTCACTAAGAAGTGGTCAATCCGATCACTACAATAACACACCTGTCAACATGGATGACTCACATGGACTGTGTGATCAGACGACAATTGTAAATTTTTGTGTCTGATCAGAGATTGAATGAGGCGAGGATAGACAGTGTGTCAGGCGAGCACTCGTGTGGTGTGTGCGTGTTTGTGTGCGTGCATGTGTGTGTGTGTGTGCGTATGTGCGTATGTGAACGGCAGAGAGGTGTAGAGTGATTGAGGGAGTGGGTGAGATTGGTGTTGATGGCGCTCGAGGCAATGAATGAGGCAGTCTGACCGGGTGGGATGATAGAGGTGACATGTGTGTAGTGTCGGGAAGCCAAGGAGCTGAGAACGAGAGTGTGGGAGAATGCGTCTGTCAGAATGCATGCAACGGACAGGTGCATTGTTGGAATGCAGGCCACGAGAACACAGTGAACAGAAGAGGTGTGGAGAGAGATGAGCATGAGCGATGTGGAGTGTTGGGCAACGAAGGTGAGTAGTGGTTAGTAGAAGAGAGTGGGAACAAGTGGAGGTACGAGTCAGTGTACGAAGTGATTGTGGAAGGAGACATGGAGGTGTAGGAATGGACGGATCAGTCGTAGACGACATCAGGAGGACGTGGCTGTTGAGACTAGGATGGACAGGGGAGTGGATGTCATCGGAGTGATTGGTTTAGAATGTGTGAGGAACGATGTGGTGTATGGACACGTGTATTGTTTGTGTGTGAGAGAAGGGGCGAGAATGACTGACCGACTGACCGACTGACTGATTGACTGACTGACTGACTGACTGACAGATTTGTTGGTTGGTTGGTTGGTTGGTTGGTCGGTCGGTCGGTCGGTCGGTCGGTCGGTCGGTCGATTGACTGATTGATAGATGGTATAAGGGGATGAGTGAATGATTGTCGTGTGAGAGCGAGCTCGCGAGCTCTCGAGTGATTGAATGAGTGAGTGAATGAGTTATTGTTAGTGATTGTTGGTATTGGTTTGTGGTGATATGTGTGTGTCAGGCGAAATTGAGCAGAGTGGCGCAGTGGAAGCGTGCTGGGCCCATAACCCAGAGGTCCGTGGATCGAAACCACGCTCTGCTAATCGATTTTAACAGCCGTACCATAACA